CCGTGGTGGTGGGAATAACAGGAAGGAAAGAGAGAATGAGAAGGCTGAAGTGAAACTGCAGTTAAAGGTTAGCTGTGCAGAGGCATTGTGGATGCTCGCCAAGGGGAGTGTTTCAAACAGTAAAAGGATAACTGAAACTAGAGGTTTACTCTGTTTAGCTAAGCTTGTTGAGACAGAACAAGGGGAATTGCAATTAAACTGCTTGATGACAATAATGGAAATAACCGCCTCAGCGGAATCTAATCCTGACCTTAGAAGGTCTGCTTTCAGGACAAATTCCCCCGCTGCAAAGGCCGTTGTTGATCAACTACTACATGTGATTAAAGAATCAAACAGTCCCAAAATGCAAGTTTCAGCAATTCGGTCAGTCGGTTGTCTTGCTAGAACATTTCCTGCAAGAGAGGTTCGGGTGATTGGGCCTTTAGTTGAGCAACTGAGTAACAGAAATCTAGATGTGGCTGCAGAAGCTGCAAATTCACTTGGGAAGTTTACATGTCCTGAAAACTTTTTACGTGTGGAGCATTCAAAGACGATAATTGAATTCAATGCCGTCCCCGCTCTTCTGAGACTGCTGAGAGGGAATGAGCGGTCTCAGTTCCACGGATTTGTTCTCCTATGCTACCTCTCTGTGCATGCTCGCAATAATGATGCTTTGGATCAACCCCGAGTTCGGACTGCCCTCGAGGGGGCGGACCGGACATTGTTTATCCAGCATCCTGAGTTGAGAGAATTAATGTCAACTGCGACATACCACCTCGATATTTATCACTCTGGATTGCTTCTTCCTCAGCGTCAGTCTTTTTCTCCTTAGCATTTGTTTTGGAGCCCCTGGGTAATGGGGATAGTGTAAAGTTGCATAAAAATATAGATTTATGTATCAGAAGGCTTTGTCGGTGTGTACTTAAAGTTTGTGTTGATACACTAGTTTACTCGTGTTTCAGGGGAGTGGTGCATTTTTGTGAGGGGCAGAAATAAGTGTTCCTCCGTTCTTAAATAAATGTAACGGTCAACATTTTACACTTGCCGAGACACAATTTTGACCATTAATATATATAAATTTATATTAGTAAAAGAATTAAAAAAATTAGATATTGAAAATTTACAATGAGACAAATTTAACAATATTTTTTCCATAAAAATATATTCATACATTAATAAATAAAACGTAGTCAAAGTAGAACATATGAATAGTGTAAAATTCCATATGTTACATTTATTTAAGAATGGAGGTAGTATTACTTTTTCAGTTGTAATTAATAATTTTTGGAGGACAGTTGTGAATGAATGAAAAGATTTTGGTTCGGGTGAGACATAATTAAATACTCCCTACAAAAGAGTAGGTTCTTTTGAGCAAATTATACCATGGAGATTGTTATACTGTTCTTCTCTTCGGCCGTGTTTGGGAAACGGCGGATCAGCAGTTTTTTGGCGTTTCAATCAATATTGGCGTTTTGATTTTGGTCAAACCGCTAAATCAGGCATTTGGTAGACAGTGGAGGGGAGCAGCGTTTTTGTTCCAAAACACCAAAACTCAAGACGCTGATTAGAGCAGCGTTTGAGTTCGGCGGTTTTGCATAATCTGCACAAAAGTCTGTTTAGCCCTTAGTCGGTGGAGAACGGGAGACTGCAATATTGCTGATGAACTTGGAGAAAGATCCGGTGAAATGGGTGAAGATTAATGGAGATGTATTATAATTGTTAAATTATTTGCGTGTATCTGTTCTCCCACCCGAAGAAGAAACGAATACAAGTTAAACTACAGGTTAGATGATTTTCTATCTGTTCATTGCGTAGAGCCAAAGAGGTATCAAATACAAATGTTGCTGCAGTAGTTGGTGGACTTGATATATGGTCAGATGCCTTATTTTGGTCTTTTTTTTGCTTTGGTCTTTTATGATTAATAAAGGCCGTCTAAATTTTTATTTTTTGTTTGAAGATATTTTTTTGTGTTTAGAGATATTTTTGTTGGCGGTGTTTGAGAGGTATCCTTGTATCAGTGTATGTTTGGCGTTTTTTTTTTTAAATTTGGTCTTTTATGATTAAAGGTTAGACATATATGTCCTTACATGTAATTTTATCGAAAAAGCTATGTCCAAACAGCTAATTAACCAAACTGTTTTTTTACAATCCGTTAACTTAATCAACCGGTCAAAACGCCAAATCAATCCGCCAGTCAAAAGGAAAATTATACTGTGCAACCGGCATACCACGCGCATGGTATGCCTGTGCCGTTTTTTCATTAACAAACCCAGCGCTTGCTCGCACTTCCCCTACTTGCTGCCTTCTTTATTTTTTTTCTTCTTTCTCATTGATTACTTTTTTTAATTTATTAAAAGCCTTAATGAAGTCTATTTTCTCATCTATATATAGTTGCACACTCCACTCATCATTCCAAATAATTATCATTCTTATGTTTACTTTAGTTTTTTCATTATCAAAAGCAAACATATTTCCAAATAATTATTTTAATTTAGGAACAATGAATCAATGATATACCTATTACAATTTTGAGATTAAGTTTTCATCCTTTCAAAAGAAATTAATTATGTTTTTTTTCTATCTTAGTCCTTATTCATATACTTTTCTTTTGCTTCAACTTAAATTACAATAAAAAAATAAATTATTTTTTCTTCAAAATAAATAATTTTATATTTTATAGACTTGTGTGATTTATATTTCAACATGTGTGAGTTGTGTTTATAGAAAATTCCTGGAATTACATTTGATAGTATATGAAGTTACATCTTAAGCGCGAGTTACATCTGTTTATGCGTGAGTTACATCTTAATGTACGCAAGTTACACCATGACATAAACTCTACTAGTGATCAAACAATGATTTTTTAACTATATCAATTTTTATAACCCTAATATTAAAAAAATGTATTCACTATTTACAAAAAGTAATTGAGCAATTAGGATCAGCTAATTCATTCTTCAGATGCACGCCTTTGAGCAAGTTACATCCTGCTTACACATGATTTACATTTTTCATAATGCGGGTTACATCATAATGATTTACATTTGAATACACTGTATTTACATTTAATAATAGCACGAGTTACATACCAAAACAAATGATTTACATCACGAAAAAAATGGAGACAAATGCCTGAATACTGTTCACGCAAATTTTATCCTTGGGAGTACGGTGCTCACCGTGCACCGGTTGCACGGTATACAGACTACAGTCAAAACCGCTGACACAACCCGCTAACAGATTACCAAAGAAGCCCTTCTTCTGTGCACTATGATGGTTTCTCGTTTTGCTTCAATTTTATGATTTCTTCTTCTTGATTTCTGAAATATCATCCACAGTTGCTATTTCAATTAACCCAAGTACAACAAATGTTGTGTTGTTCTTTACTATTTGAAGTAGCAATATCAAACAACAAAACTTAAATGAGCACAAAATTAATGATATTATGAACATATTGAATCTCTGTTTCCTTTATAAAAAGAAAAGTTTAGTGTAGTGTCCATAAATTCGTCCATGTTTTTCTAGAAGAGTCAATAACTTTGTGGAACCTATAGAGAAAACAATACATTTTTATATATCCAAAAAATAAAATTAATAGGGTTCAATGAAAAAGTTAGAAATTGTACTTGCATCATGGAAAATGGGGAAATTTGCAATTTTCATTCCGTAACTTTGGGTCGTTTTCATTATTAGTCCGGTAAGTCGGTAACTCTAGGCACTTGCAAATTTAGTTCTGTAACTAATAAACCTTTGCGATTTAAAGACTTCTCCCTTGAAAAGTACACTTTACGGCGATAGTATATTGGAAAAGATGATGGTGGCGTCATTTTTTTGCCGGAAAGTGTGCTTTTCCGTGAAAAAATCCTTGAATTGCAAAAAAATATTAGTTACATAACCGGTGATTAAATTCATAGGATCCGATAACGGCTGAAAGTTACGAGAATAAAATTGCAAATCTCGAAAATGCATACCAATGAATTTGCCAGATTTTTTATCATAAATTGTGTTAAATAGGAGTAAAAACGTTTTCAAATTCCAAAATAGTAGTATCATGTTTTTTATTTCCTAAATAGGAGTAATCTGCCAAGTTTGGAAAAAAATGCCAAGTTTTAAAGCTTTGTAATGCCAAACTTGGCAGAAATTTACTCCTATTCGGGAAATAAAAAACATGATACTCGTATTTTGGAGTTTCAAAACGTTTTTGCTTCTAGGGAATTCTCTCATTTTTTATTTGTACATTTGTATGGTGGCAAATCAAGAACCGATAATCCTGACTAGGGGTGTGCACCGGTTCAAAACCGGACCGAACCGGACCGAACCGGACCGAACCGGACCGGAACCGGAACCGGATTTGTAAGGAAATGAAAACCGAAAACCGGACCGGATATGTTCCGGTTTTGATCCGGAACCGGACCGGTTTTACCGGTTTAAAACCGGAACCGGACCGAAAGAACCGGTTTCCAAATTATTAATTTAAAATACTAAAAAATACAACTAATTTGTTTAATAAAAATGGGGTATTTGTTACTAATAGTATTACTATTACTACTATTATTTATTTATTTACTTTATTAGTCTTATAGAGCAAAGATTTAAGCATTTTGTGGGTAGAATAGTAAATATTAGTTAATTCTATTATCAAGAAAATAAGAATATATAGATGAATAAAACATTACGAAAGTATATACTACATATTAAAAATATTACTATTTATATTTTTATAACTATCATTAGTTTTTATTATTCTATGACTATTTTATATTAAGACTATTAATTAATATATTAAAAAATATAGCAAACCGGTTTAATCCGGCTCAAACTGGAACAATCCGGTTTTTAACCGGAACCGGACCGGAAACCGGATTTACAATATTTGAAAACCGAAAACCGGACCGGATATCATCCGGGTCGGTTCGGTTCCGGTTTTTTTGGTCCGGTCCGGTCCGGTTTTCCGGTTTGAACCGGTTTGTGCACACCCCTAATCCTGACTCTCGACCGTCATCTTGTTGTCTTTGAGGTGCTGTTCATGAATATTGTTGTACTTCATTGTTTCTAGATGGAGTTGGAATTCTGCACCGATCTATTTTCAATAGCAAATTGAAAATTATAAATACTTAAAATTTCAATCCGAGAAGGATGGAAATGCGACTGTTAGGGAACTTCCATTGTAGATTCCCCGCAAAATTGACGTCTGCATTTTTATGGCAAACTCTCAACATTTTTTCTCTGTCTTTCAAAAGGTTTATCTTTTCTTCCCGTTCTTCTTCCCTCAACACTTATTTTCGTACACCAGTACATCTGCACTTACTCCAATCTCCCTCTTTTCTCTGTTCATGCGAGGACCTCCGAACTCTCAAGCAAATCCAAGCATCTCTAATCGTTTCATACGGGCATAGCATTGATGCTGCTGCTGTTTCAATGCTGGGAAGTTTATATGCAAAGTTTGAGGAAATTCAGCATGCCCTTTTCCTTCTCTGTTCTTTACACGGACCCTGTACACATCACTGGAATCAGGTTATAAAGACCTGTGTTGATTTGGGTATGGTTGAGTCTGCTTTTTTTGTTTACAATGGAATGAGAGAGAAGGGTATCTTGCACGACAATTACACATTTCCGATATTAAACAGGGCTGTGGCAATGAGTTGCGGTAAGGATTGGTATGGCAAGTCCATTCACGGGTTGTCTTTTAAAATGGGTTTTGATTTGGACATTTATTTCTGCAATACGTTGATTGAGAGTTGTACCAAGACTAGGGGGCTTGTTGATGCTTTTCAGGTGTTTGAAGAGATGCCTCAAAGGGATTTGGTTTCTTGGACTTCAATAATTTCGGGATTTCTCTCTGAAGGTGATTGTTTTGAAGCATTCAACTTGTTCAGAGAGATGAAAAAAGAGATTCTACCTAATTCAGTGACAATTATAGTTGTCTTGAAAGCATGCCCAAGCCTTGTGGAATGTACACAGGTTCACTGTTATGTGATTAAATATGGATTCTTGATTGATGTATCGATTACCAACTCCATTATGAAGAGCTACTCTAACTTTTTTAGTGTCAACGAAGCAGAGGCTCTTTTTTGTGAATTAGAAAAAGTAGATGTCATTTCTTGGAACATTATGATTTCTTTGTATTCCTTGAGAGGAGAGATGGAGAAAGTGACATGTTCTTTTAGTGAAATGAGGGATGATGTAGGACCCAGTGTTGAGACTTTAACGACATTAGTTTCTGGGCTTTCAAATGGTGGGTGTCTTTCCACAGGAAGCCAAATACATTGTCTTTCTCTAAAAAGTAGACTATTGGATGATATCTTGAAATGTTCTTTGTTGAGTTTTTATGGAAAGTGTAGTAACTTGGAGGGATCAACTAAGTTGTTTGACGAAATACCTCACAAAAACTGTGTGGTTTGGAGTGCAATGATGACCAGTTTCACAGACAATGGTCATTTTATAGAGGCTATTAAGTTATTCCTTAAAATGTTAGTTTTGGGTAACAAGCCGGTCTCAGAAAACTTTGAGAACCTCGTTATTGCTTATACAAATATGGGTGCTTTGCAACTGGGAAAAGGAGTTCATGGATACCTTATAAGGAACTCACTCTATATTAGCAAAACTCTAAAGACCTCGATCTTGAACATGTACATAAAATGTGGAAAAATCTCCTCTGCAAGAATCTGCTTTGATGAAATGGCATCATCCAGAGACGTGGTGATGTGGACATCGATGATTGAAGGGTATGGGACCCATGGACTAGGTTCAGAAGCAGTCCGCTTGTTCCGCGCCATGGTAGAAGAAGGACCTGAGCAGCCAAACAGTGTGACTTTTCTAAGCTTGTTGTCTGCTTGCAGTCACTCTGGCCTTTTGACTGAAGGTGTTGAAATCCTTCACTCAATGAAAACGAGGTTCAAGGTTGAACCTGATTTGAATCATTACACTTGCATTGTTGATCTATTGGGACGGCTGGGTAAGGTTAAAGAGGCCCTAACCATGGTAATGAAACTGGCCGTTTTACCAGACAGCAGGGTTTGGTCTGTCCTCCTTTCTGCTTCTTTGCGAGGGTGTAACTGTCAGAAAGTTGCAGATTATGCTTGTCAAAGGATCATGGAATTGGATTCTGAGAATGCTGGATACTACACTTTGTATAGCAATGTTCAAGCTAGTGCTGAAAGGTGGGATGGAGTTGAATGTATAAGACGTACCATGAATGAAAGGTTTCTAGTAAAGAAACCAGGCTGGAGCTGTATAGAAGCTTGATGGGTTGTTCCCGGGCTGGAGGAGTTGATTTCTAAGTAGGAAAGTGTATGATTAAGGCTTTAATGGTTTGATTTATATATAACATATTTCACACATTATTGTTTGATAATTTTTGCGTTCTTTATTATAACAGGAAAGCTCATTTCTCCCTGAAAATATGCGTGCATGGGTTGTGTTCCCTCCCTGGTTCTTCAGTAAGAGTACTGGCAAAGTTCTTGAGGTATAGCCGTATAGTTTATTAGTTTCTCATTACATTTAAGTGACACTGAGTGTCACATAATATAAGATTTTCCAATCATCTCTCGCCTTAAATACTAGCAATAGGCTTTACAAGATAGTGGATGATAGCTTCATAGCTTGTTATTATTATTAGTATTATTATTTTAATATATTTAAAACCTGGTGTGGCAGATGACCACATATTTAGTTTACATCATGCATATGCACAAGAATCATATGATGCCACTGCTTTGCATTGTCAAATGGATCAAATCCATGTGTTGGTCTCCAGAGAGAAAATCCCAAACCAGCTTGATTTTATTGCAAGAATTTTTATTTTTACACTTTTCTCTTTGTAGATGCCAGTTTCGTTATACACTTTTCTCTTGTTTGTCATCCTCTAGAGCTATTTTCATAAAACTAAGTAAAATGCTATAATTCAGTGTACAGACATTCTGCAAGGATTTTTCTTTGGGCAACTACGGACCCAAAAGTGACTTAAAAAGAGTTGTATTTTGTTAGAGTTTAGTCACACTATAGTTGATGGAGTGTGTGTGTGTGGGGTGGGGTGGGGGGTGGGGGGTTCATCTGATACTTACAAGGGCTCCAAGCTGGGCATAGTTGCACCTACGTAATTGCCAGTTGACCAACATCTGATCAGATTGAGTTGACTTTTTAAATGCTTTCTTAGTTCAGAAACTCCTAGGATCTGGTGATAGCTGTAGATTTGATGTCACTCTAAATTTAATGCCACCCATCTGATCTGTTGGATTAAGGTGTTGTTGATGATGACTCTATATGAATATATGAAGATATTCTATATGTTGAAGATGATGCTTCAATGTGTTATTGAGATATCCAGTCTTGTTTTCTGGAATATGATCCAAAGAAAGCCAAACCAGTATTGAACTGAATTGTCCCTTGATTAATCGGTTGGTGGTTTGTTCAGCAGTCAATCTCCATTTCTCTTGCATTTTGTAGATGTGAACGAACTATGCTTTTTCTGGGTAATTCAGGCATCACTATCAATCTGGGAATGATAAAGAAGCTCTCTTATTTCTGGAAATTGAGCCTAGCTGTGTCTTTTCAATTGTTGAGTAGTTTTCAGACAGAATTTTAAGGCACAGTAATGTCTATTCTTTCTTTCCATGAAATTGGATATGTAGTATAATGTTGCTCCATATTCATCTGTGTAATTACGCAGTAATAAACTGATGTACTTTTCCCATTGTTAAAAGAATTTTGTCAGTCTTGGTGCAATCAATGTATTCATGTTTTGTCTATAAAATTGGCAATCAATGTATTCATGTTTTGTCTATAATTGACAAAGAATTTCACGCTACCTTTTTTTGGAAGGAAAATGCTTATATTAGAACCAAAAGAGACATTACATCAATCAAGACACCAAAACACCAATTCCCAGTAGACCCACAATACCAAAAGCCCATCGGCTCCCTCACGTCATGTCCAGGCATAGAATAGTCCACCCCGAAAAGAGCGAGACTAATTGCTGAGACGGTGAGAGTTAAGAGGCTATTAGCGGCTGTGACAGCCTGATTGCCTCCAACACTATAAAACTTACTAAAAAACAAAACACCCACGACACCCACTCCCTTGTTGTAAATAAAAAAAAAAAAGCAAACAACAACTGAGTTTGGAAAAGTAAAAATAAAGCAGCAAAAATAAAAGTCCAGGTGATGGAATTTGTAGACTTCCATCCCTTTTGCACCACCCGACGCATCTTCTAGATATCTGATAGGCGGGCATTGTAGCCCGCCCCCTTCCCGTTTTTTGGTGAGCCCATCTCCATGTCCAATTTCACGCTACGTTTGATTTTTCTTTCTTCTTTTCCCCCCTTTTTCGTTTTGTTTAGAGTCTAATAATAAATTAATAATTGGGCTCCCAAGAATCCATCCCAAATCATAGAAAGATGTAAATTAGAGTTGCTTGAACAATACACTAATTCCCACAGTCATCTTTACCGTTACACCCCCACAATTTAATTTTCTTATACTTCTACTAATACCCATGTGTTACATGAGATTTAGCTTTTTAAAACATATTAAATAATCTTAGAGGTCAGAACAGATAAAATTATAGGTTAGAAAGATTTGCCAAAAAAAAATCTTAGAGGTGTGGTAATGATTACATTTTTTTAATTACAATTTGTAATGTATTATTAATAGGCTCTCTACAAAGCAAAACAAAAAAAAAATCACTAATTTCTAACAACAATTATTTTTAAGTCTAAATTGAAGAAGAAGAAGAAGGTTGTAAAGTGTATGTATATATTTCGTGCCTAAATAAATACGTCCTTCATATTCTAAGTTTTCAGCTTATGGTTTTATCGGTCAACTTTTTATCAAACATGTAATTTGGATTTCGGAGAATAAAACCTTCTTCCTTTATTTGAATATATGTAGTAATGTATTTATTTTTCATATACATCATCCTTTTTTTGGGAAGATATACATCATCCTTTGAAGTATTTATTCCTATTCATCCTCAGAGTAATTAAGAAGCCCTTTCTTAGCTTGAAGCTAATTAAGGATAAATTTCAATTAGAGACTTTAATCCCAAGGGTGAAATTATTTTGTAAGCACTGAAGCCAGCTTCAAGGAAGAGCTTTGCCCACTCTTTCTCTGATCTCTCTTTCCCTTTGAAATAAGTCATCATCAACATATCGAAGAGAGTTTGGGTTTCAATTGCCAGAACATCATCTTTCTGATTCCCAACCACGACATCTATTACAATGACCTTCCCACCTTTTCCTTTCTTGGAAATTGATTCTTTACATTTCCTCAATATTTTGAGGCATTCTTCATCACTCCAATCATGCAAAATCCACTGCACATGGTTAACACTCAATTCAAAAATCATGGATGAATTAGAACCACACAAAGATATAAAAGAGACGAAAAAGATAACCTGAGACAAAATTAATTAGTAAGTATGGGGTGTTTGGATCTGATTCTTAAAACTGATTCTGCTCCTTGAGAGAGCGGAAGCAGAAGCTGGAGTGTTTGGGTGAAAGTGCAGAAGTGATTCTGGTGCTCTTTTTTACTCCTAGAATCAATTTTTTCAGAAGCTGGGGGTGACCAGCTTCTGAAAACTGATTCTGATTCTGCATCTACTTTATAAAAGAAGCACAAGCAGAATCAGTTCCAAACACCCCCTATGTATTGTTCTTTCTGACATGAAATAGATAATAACAATGTGCATAGTAATATCTTCATTGACAAGTTTATTGTTGAAATATTTCACACATCGGTAAAATATAAACTAATGAAAGACAATATAAATAAATCGAGTTACTCCTCTTATCATGTTGACTTTTTAAGATAGAACTCTGAATCTATGGCTTCGGTTGTGGGTTGATTGTTGTTTAGCACTCATGATTAAGATAGTTTGTTAAAGTCTTTGTAACCCGATTTGTGCTTAGGGTGTGTTGAAGTCTTTGTCCCACGCCGGAATGGTAAAAACAATAAAATACAGAGTACTATTTATGATCTTGGTCGAATCCTCATGGGTTACCTTTTAGATGGAGCCCCGAGTCTTAATATGGTATTTGAGCCAAATCGATGGCACAATCCAGATGGAGTATCTGGTTGTAAAAAGAGTTGTGAAATATTTCTCACACTAGTAAAATATGAACTAATGAAGTAACTTAATACTACATCTTTTCCAATTTGATAGTCATGTTTCATATTTACTTGGTCAACATAAACTACTTTTAATCTTTTACTTTCTATATCCAACTTTTGATCAAATTTGATTTTTTTTTGCGATTATGTAAAACTTTTAATGTAGTTTCTGAATGTGTAAATTTTATTCACTACAAATAATTTGAGTGATGACAGAGATCAGTTTGCTTCATCAAATACTCCCTCCGTCCCTTAAAACTTTTCCATCTTTCTTTTTTGGGACGTCCTAAAAAACTTTGCCACTTTCTCTTTTAATCAATTATTTTGTGGTTTCTGTTATTTCTCTCTCCTCTGCACAAACCCCAACCACACAGTTTTTACTTTATTATTCTCCGTGCCGGTCAACTTTGGCAAAGTTTTAAGGGACCGAGGTAGTATCTCTTAAAGCGTAATGAGACTATGAGACCAAGGGAGTAGTACTACATTATGTACCTTGAGAAGAACAGCATCTGCAGAAGGTATGGACACGAACATGTCCCCTCCAACATATTCCAAATTCTTCTTCTTCTCCTTCTCCTTCTCCACGCCTTGGACCACGTGGGGGAGGTCAAGCACAGTGCACCTCAGCTCCGGGAAAGCTGTGGCGATGATCTTCGCCGCAGACCCGTTCCCACCCCCAACATCGACCAGTGACTCCAACCCTTCAAACACCCCCCTCAAATGCTTCACCACCATGCCCATCACCAGGCGAGTATTACTCGCCATCGACTCGTTGAATATCTGGCTGAACCTCGGCTCCCGCCTCCCGTAGTCCCAGAAAGTCATCCCGTGGGCCGTGTCGCACGCCGTCGGGTCGTCGTTTAGGAACCACTCGGTGATGTGCTCGTGCGTTACTGCCGGAAACGTCGGACCTAGCAAGTTAAGCAATATAGGCCTCGCGCAAAAGGGGTTGTCTTTAAGGAGGAGAACGGAAGGCGGGGCAAGGGCATAACAGTATTTTGCTTCGCCCTCGTCGTCGTCCCCGTCGCCGGGGGTTGTTGTTTTCTTCTCCACGAAGTAGCCGGAGAGGACTAACGTGCGCATGAGTTGACCGAGCTGCTCGGCTTTGGCCTTGTTGATTGGGAGGGCGTTGACCAGCTCGGGAAGGGTCATGGGTCTTTGGTGCTTGTGGATGATGTCGGGGATGTCCAGCTGGACGGCGCATCTTAGCGAGGTGGCTTTTAAGCAGCTTAATAGCGTGTTGTATATGTGAGTTTGAGCCTCTAAAAGCCCACTGTCTTCACCCTCTACGGCCGGAAGCTGTTTTGATATTGCCATTCAAACTTTGAACGATTAAGAAAATAAATGAAATATGGTGTGTGTATGTCTGAACTAATGTCCCTCTGGGTGTTAGGCTTTATAGACATTTTAAAATGAGGGTATTGTACCTATACATTTAAGGGTTTTTTACGAGAATATTACTAAAATAAAACTTATTTACATAAATATGACTATTCATTACTACAACGTAGTGCTGTGGTAACTAAAGTTCAAAACTTGAACATGAATTACTATGATATCATTACTACTCTAGTAATGAATCATATTTTTGTAAACCATCTTTATTTTGGTCATAATTATGTAATTATTTCTACATTTAATTATTCTAAGGGCGTGTTTTGCAATGAATGGTTAGTAGATACTCCATCTGTCCTATTTAAAGTTCTCGTCCTCTATTCTCCGCTCCACGTAAATTCTTCTTAATCTTTTATTTTATATATCCAACTTTTATCAAATTTAATTTTTCTGGATCAGGTATTATAAAACTTTTAATGTAGTTTCTGAATATGTAAATTTTACTTACTAAAAATAATCTTATTAATGATAGGGATCAGTTAACTTTATGGGCAGTCAAACATCGTAAACCGTGTGAGAACCTTTAATTTAAGTGAGGCGGAGGGAGTAGTTGATTGTGTTAACATGTTGTTAATGGCGGGTTTAGTTTGGATTTACTAGCGAATAACTTGGCGGGATGCAAAAACATGTTTTGTAATTTAGCTGTTTAGTCGTAGCAATTACAAGGAAACAACCTACTAGTTTTCAAAACGCTAACCCAAAATGCTGCTATTTTTCATTTCAACAGTGTTGTCCAAAACGCTAGGGCCAAATAACTATTTACCAAACATTGTTTTCACGTATTGAAAACGTTTAAAAAGGATCAAACCACTTTTTTTTATATATATTGAAACTCCATTTTCCAAACATACCTAAGTCATTATTTCAACATATTCTTATTTAAATTATTACGGAGTAAATTACAACATTCTAATTAGTCCATATGGACAAGGTACTTTACTTTGAGGAGTATGTAGTCTAGAATTTGTAATGACATTACTCAAACTGGCCATTATTGCAAGTAATACGTAGATTAAGAGTCTCGTTCCTATACATATGGATGTTTATATAGGAAGCTCCGTACGGACAAAGCCATCATAGGACTTTTCTGGTGGATTTTTTTTTATGAAATGCTTTGAGTATGTTCTTCATCAAGTCTAATTTATACACACCAAATTCAGCTCAAAACTCCATCGAAAAGGCAGTTAAATAAATTATTGAAAAAAACTGCACTTTTATATGTATACTTTGGCACAATTTTTTTCAATAATCAGGTTTACTGCCTTCCCGATAGATTTTTGAGCTGAAATTTGGTATGCATAAACAAGACTTGATGAAGAACATGCTCAAAAGGGTCAAATAGGCCCCTGATCCTGTTCGGAATGCTCAATTCGCATCCCGAACTCAAAAAAACTCCAATTCACCCCTGAACTCGCCAAAAAAGTTCAAATCCCATTTTTTGCAGGTGAGTGTCTGGTCATTGCCACGTCAGCCGGTTAGATGCCAACCGTGCATCCCACGTGGAAATGTAAGGGGTCAAATAGACCCCTGAACCCGACAAAATTGTTCAGTTTACCCCCTCAACCGTTAAAAAGTGTCGAAATTGCCATTAAAAAATAAAAAATAAAAATAGAAAATATAAATATAAATAATATAGAATTTCATAATATAAAATATATGAGTCTATTTATAATATGACGATAAATTATTTATATTTTAGGGTAAATTTAATATTTTTAAATATTTATGAGTCTATTTATAATATGACAAAAATATTAAAAAAAATTAATATTAATTTATAAAAATGTATGGTTAATTTTTTAAAATGGATTTAAAACATCAAAATATTTTTAATGAATTTGTTTTGTTTTGTTTTATGTGAATTTACCGCAAAAAATAAGGATATATTTATATTTACAGTAAATTCATATAAAATAATTTAAAAGAAATTCATTAAAACTATTTTCATATTTTTAATATGTTTTAGATTTATATGTAAAGTTACACACACACATGCACACATGCATATATGTATATATACTTCGTACTATACTTCATACTAATTATATTTAACATTAAAATTTTGTACTATATAAAAATTATAATATGTAAATAGCTAGGGACTACTACATTTTTATAATATGTATTTAAAAAATAAGTACCTTCATCACGTTTATATATATATATATATATATATATATATATATATATATATACACAAATGATCCTGTCCGGACGTCCGGACAGGAACCGCCGTCCGGCCGGCGGCGTTTGGCCGCCTTCCCGGTGGAATTTTTTGATGAAATTTTTATGGCATGTTCTCCATCAAGTCTAGTTTATCCACAAAAAAATTCAGCCAAAAACTCGATCGGGAAGGTCGTCAAATGATTTTTGCAAGTTAACTGGTCCGGAATATGTATTTTCCGGACCAGTTAACTTACAAAAATCATTTGACGACCTTCCCGATTGCGTTTTTGGCTGAATTTTTTTGTGAATAAACTAGACTTGATGGAGAACATGCCATAAAAATTGCATCAAAAAATTCCACCGGGAAGGCGGCCAAACGCCGCCGGCCGGACGGCGGTTCCTGTCCGGACGTCCGGACAGGATCAGGACTCTCTCTCTCTCTCTCTCTCTCTCTCTATATATATATATATATATATATAATTTACCCTGAAATATAAAAATTGTCTTATTATATTATAAATAGACATCTATGTTTTATATTATGAACTTGTATATCATTTTATTTTATTTTTTCTCTATTTTTTAATAGAGATTGCATATTTGTAATAGCAATTTGGACACTTTTCAACGGTTGAGGGGTAAATTGAACAACTTTGTCGGCTTCAGGGGTCTATTTGACCCCTTAGATTTCCACGTGGGATGCACGGTTGGCATCTAACCGGCTGACGTGGCGATGACCGGAATTTTACCTGCAAAAAATGGGATTTGAACTTTTTTGGCAAGTTCAGGGGGTGAATTGGAGCTTTTTTGAGTTCGGGGTGCGAATTGAGCATTCCGAATAGGTATAGGGGCCTATTTGACCCTTTAGCAAAAAATATTCATAAAAAAATTCCACCGGGAAGGACCTCTGATGACTTTGTCCGTACGGAGCTTCCTATACATCCATATGCATATGAATTGTCCTCTTGTAGAATAATTTGGTTAAGTTGGCTAATTAAGAGCATCTTCAATGCTAGAATGTGCACGGTGCACATGCGGCATGAGTGATAGCCACATAAATATTAACAAATAAATTATCTCTCTCCTTATTTGAATGATTTTATACAATTTTGGTATGTTTTTTCCTGCAATGTCAACTGCAATGCCAACATCTAGACGGTCTCCTTGACATTGTGGAAAAAAACTTATCAAAACTGTATAAAATCATTCAAATAAGGAAAAAAGAATTTATTTACTAATATTTATGTGGCTATCTCTTATGCCACATGTGCACTGTGTACATTGTAGCATTGGAGATGCTCTAAATGAATGATTATGTGCAACATACATCAAATTGGCCTGCCGGTCCTTACCTGAGTACCTGACAGCCCCCAAATGCAAAGCCAAATTTAGACAAGTTTCATCAAATGTGTAAGGCACTTCTAAGCTAAGACCTAATAATAGCTAAAATGTTGTATTCGTAAATTTGGTAAACGTAGTTAGTTACTAGTATTTTTTTTTGAAGAGGGTTAGTTACTAGTATTATTTTGTTTGTCCTTATAAAATTGTTAGGTATGGATGGCGAGTATGGATGTTTTCTTTTGGACTGATATTTGCTGGTCTGGTCTGATCTGGTCTGATCTGGTCTGGTCTGGTAAACGTCTGGTCCTCTGTGTAATATATAACTACGGAAGTCTGGTCTGGTCTGGTCTGCTCTGGTCTGGTCTGGGACTGAAAACAGTCTAAAAAAAACATCCTTTATATGATTGGATGTATATCGGCATCGAATCAAAATAGAAAAAAACACATGCATTGATCGAGTAATGGATACAATGTGACAATGTGTGTGTGGACTAACATTTTTACTTAGGAGAAATGTGAACATATACTCCTCTAGTATGAGTATTAGAACAACTGAACAAATATATTTTTGTTCTATTTTTTCGAATAAACATGTCCTTAATGTTTATGTGGAAGTGCATATACACCTTTGAGCTTTTAAAATGAGCAAAAATACCCCTCACGTTTTTATAAGGGAACAAATTTACATTTATAGATTTAAAATAAATAAAATAAAATTTGAAAAAACACCAAAAATAAATTATAAGTTTGAAATTGAAAACTAAATAAAATTAAAGAGTTAAAAATTAATTATTTATTTTTATGTTAAAATATTAACTCTTTAATTTTAAACTATAAAATTAATATTTTTCCGTTGTAAATGAAACACTTCAAATTCATAAATATTAGTTTTAGTCTTGTTGCGAAACGTGGAACACATTGTTACATTTTTTTGAAATAACATTCTTTGATTTTGTTTAACCTCAACAAAAATAAATTCACTATTTTGTTATCTTGGACTATTTATCATCATTTAAAATATGTAGTTTTATAGTGCAAAGAATACAAAAAATTAATGATTTTTTTGCATTGCAACACATATGTTAGCACTTTTCCGGAAGAATCTTAAATATATAGTAAAATTTCGAAATAGTATTTCATACTAACAATATTAAATTATGATATAAAAATAATAAAAGGTAAAATTAGACACAAGTAGTTTTTTTTTTCAATTTCAATATAATCTATTTTTGGTGTTAATAGAAATTTATTTTTTCTATTTAAAGTCAATAAAGGTAAATTTTCTCCTTTATAGGAGCATAAGGGGTTTTTTTGCACCTTTTAAAAGTTCAGAGGTATATAAGTACTTTCACATAAACTTCAAGGGTATATATGCTCCAAAAAATAGAACATGGATATACTCCGTATTTGTTTTCACATCCATACTACAGATATATATAATTGTACTTTTTCCCTTTTTACTTATGGGTAATGGGTTTGCTACATAAAAAAAGCAT